TGTGTTGCTTGCTTGTGTGCTACCGTAGTGTGTCTGCTTCGCAGCTACACCCCTTCACTCAGAGCGCCAATCGCGTGCTTGACGGGTTTGTCAAGGCAAGCGACCTGGCTGTCCAGGGAAGTGGCGTGGACCCGTCTCTTGCAGGCCTGATCCTCGGCGTGTGCATCTGCTTCACCTTTGGGCGCCAGTGGTGCAGTGGCCTCTTCTCCTGATGGGGGCGGCAACCGCGGTGGACGGCGTGACGAAGATGGCATGGTGGCACAATGTGCTGATGATTGGTGATGGTGCCATATATTGCTTGCTCGAGTGGTAATTGATGGCTGATTGCTTGCTTGGTGGCTTGATTTGATGGCTTGGTTGCTTCATGTGTATGAGTGAGTGGATGATGACTGCCTTCTTTTTCGTTTCACCGATCTTAAGTGTGCTTCATGAGTCTGCCGTTTTGCTTCCTTCGTTTGCTTGTCCGTGCCCGTCTTGAGAACCGACATAAACAACACAAACCGCACACACGCGGCAAACGCGACCACACACGCCTCCCCCCACTCCGCATCTGTGACATGAGTTCACACCACTCGTGCAAGTCCACTACAAGTCGCCCATTCCAAACATCTAACCCCCTTTCGGCACCAATGTGTCTTTCATCTCCAAACACACTGCACAGGATCCATACTTTTCGATCAAGGAAGTCATGGCGTGTCGTGTCATGTCATGTCATGCCATATGTCACGTCACTCTTTTATGCACGGGATAGACGCATACCATATTTAGCTTCATGGAAGTCACACCATCATAGCACGCACAACAAGTATCACAAGGAGGCCTGGCCCACCACAACAAGCAAATTAGCAACAGCAACAGCAGACAAAACACCAGACACAGCAATTTCACCACCTCAACCACCACCTCAACCACCACTACCGTCATCATCATCCCCTGTCACCGCCACCACCATAAAAGAAGGCAAGGGTGGTTGCACCAACACAGGTCAAAGAATGGTAGCGTTCTGCATTCCTTCGATGAGCTTGTTGAGGATCTTCAGCTTCTTCTTTACGCCCACCTCACGGCCTTCCTCCTCCCCCTCCTGCTGCTGCTGCTGCTGCTGCTCCTCCTCCTCCTCCTCATCATCATCATCATCATCATCATCAGCGTTTCCCTGGTCACCGTCATCGGCGTTCCCATCGCTCTCATGCGCCATGTCACGCTTCTTCTGCTGCAGCCACTCAACAAGTCGCCGGCACGCATCCTCAAACCGATCACACGTTCTCAGGACATCAAACCTCTCGCCAAAGTCGGGGCGAGCCCATGCCATGGCCAGTGAGTAAAAGTCGTGGATGCTTTTGAACGGCAGCCGGTCCCTGCCCGAGCGACAAAACAAGTCAGGATGGCGTTCCAGCAGACAACAGTTGAACCCGTCCGGCGTGTGCGTTCCAAAATCCTCAACGTCAATGAGGAACGCGACTTTAGCGTTCCTCACCGCTATGTTTTCCTTCCGCACATCGGCGTGGGAAAGTGAGTGGAAACACAACCGCAGAAGCTGCTCTGCCACACACAACAGCTGCTCTGGCGTGGTGAACTTGCCGCTGCCGAGGAAGGGCATGACGATGGTGTTGCTGTTGATGACGCGAATCGGGTGACGTGGGTGCAGGATGCGCCACATAAGACGAATGCGGTCGATGTTGTGGTCGTCAGGCACACGCTTCACCACAGTGTCGTCAATAATCTTTACGTCTGCATTGATTTCTTCAAACTCGAAGAACACGCGCATGTTGGCCAAGATGACCTCATCTTTCTGCTGCTGATGGTGCTGTGGCTGCTGCTGCTGCTGTAGTTGCTGGTGCTGCTGGTGCTGCTGTGGCTGCTGGTGCTGGTGCTGCTGTGGCTGCTGTGGTTCGTCGGGGCGATGGTCGCTCAAGTGAATGCGCTCAACAAGAGCAGGTGGGATATCGCCCTGGGTAGATGGCGGCGGTGGCGGAGAGGTGGTGGCAGGGGCTCCAAAGCATCGAGCGTAGAGCGAGTCGTAGTAGGCCAGCAGGGGCTCAGACAAGAGCACATCCAGCACACGGGAGAACTTGGACAGCTGACACCGCAACAAAGCAGGAAGCACGAAAGCAGGAGTGTGGAGATATGCGACACATGAGCGTGTGTGAGAGCATGTGGCCCGCCACCGACGGAGCAAAGGGACACCACAATGGACGAGGAGAGCAGCATGTCAGGGGCAAGAGGAGCAAGCCACCACAACAAGAGAAAACAACAACAACAACAACATATGCTAGCAGAGGTGCACCGTGGTGGATGTTAGGGTGATGGTGTTGATGACTGGCATCTTCTGGCCACCAGCGAACGTCTTGTGTCCAAGGACGAAACCATACACATCAACACAGTTCCCGGCGACGGCGATGCCGATGGGGTACATCAGCCCCTTGATCACAGACTCCCAGCGGGGAACGCACTTGATTGCGTGCAATGCGTGTTCGCGCAATTGCTCCTGTGCTTCCGCTCGCTGTGCACGCTGCTGCTCCAACTACAATATGCACACAAGGTGGACACAGCAGTGAGCAAGCAGGATTTGTGTTTCCGCGCGTGTGTGTGTTTGCGTCTGCGCGTCTGTGTGCGCTTATGTGTGTGTGTATCGTGTGGTGGCTGATGCACAAGCAATTGCAATAAAAAAGTCAGAGGCGCACACGTCAATCATTACCTCAATGATAAGAGGCAGAAAGTTGTGGTGCAGCTCGCACACGGTCGGACGAAACGCAGCGTCAATCTTGTACTGCTGCGTGTTCGAGACAGGCGCGTTGGCGATGACCATCATGCGGCTGTGCAGCTTCTTGCGATTGAAGTAATTGTGAATGCACACCACCATTTGGTATTGGATCCACTCTTTGTATTCGTCCGTGCTGATGTCTTCAAAGCCAGAGGCTGCCCAGCAAAAACGCAAAGCAAGAAGAACACACGAGCTTGTGAGTCATTGCATGCCAGTGGCGGTGCATGCGTGCGTGCATACGTGTGTGCATGTATGTGCATGAAAGTGAATGTACGCGTGTGTACATGTGTGCGTACATGTGCGTGCGTACATGTGCGTGCGTACATGTGTACGTGTATTGCAGCCACCTTGCGACACACAACACACAACACACACACTATCACAAGCGCACAAAGTAGGCACACAATCATAGATGCTCTGATACAGGAATTAAGGCAAGTCACACGACAAAACACCACACACACCACACCCCACATACACACCCCACCACACACATACACCACATACACATAAACTCACTCCCGTCGCCATGTGTTGCTGTGGCCATGTCAAGCTGCTTGGCGAGTTGTGAGGTAACCGCGAAGGTCGACGAGTCGATGGAGATAAAGTAAGGGAAGGTGCTATCCACACCCCCCTCTCTCCCCTGCTTGTTCAGCTCTTTCTTTGAAGCTGTGCTTGGTGCCACGGTCCGCACAAGGTCTGCATGGGAGTGTGCGCGCATGTATATGCACGTGTATGTGGTGGACCGAGATTAGTTTGGCTGAAGCCAATTCGTTGGGTGTGAGTCATGGGTAAGGCATGAGAAGCACGTCGCAAACAGCCGTCGCAGGACATCAACTCAAAAATGCACTTACTCAGCCGCTTGTTGAGCGCAGATGTCTCCAGCTTGGGAGGTGTGCATTTGAACAATCGCAGTCTTACAGCGTCCCGCGCTGAAAATATCTCATGTATGTCGGTCGTGGGCGGACTCAGCGCGTCCACTACAATTTCAACGTCTGGGAATAAGACGGCGATATGTATGACTTGTTCTTGCAAATGCAACAGCGCGTCAGAACCGAAATCACGAAGGGATGTCTCAACGTCAAGTCCTTTGCGAGCAGCGGAGTATTTCTTCCGCAAAATCATGGCGGCTCTTTGGAGCACCATGACCTGCACCGTTCAAGCCGGGAAGAAGAGGCGTCAGGAGAAAAGAGAAACGATTGAAACAATGTGTCGGCCCATATGAGATGTCATGCAGTGCAAAAGCGCATTGGCACGGCAGAGCCGACAAGCGTACCTCTGTTGCCGTCAGCTGCGGTGGGGCTGGCATGGTGTCTTCACTCATGGAATCCGCTGAGGATGGTGCCTGAGGAAGAGACCAAAGCGGTGGCAGGTGAGGCGCGAATGACACATCAGATGGCAGGTGTCGATGCTCTGTGGGTTGTATGCAGTTGGCCCTGATGCAGCGTCAAGGCACATGTGTGTGTGTGTGTGTGCGTGCGTGCGTGCGTGCGTGCGTGCGTGTGTGTGTGTGTGTCGACGCCTGGGAGCACATGGAATACCTACAACTGGACATGCAAAGATGTGTGATCGACAAGAAAATGAGTACGTGTGCCATCACCTTTGTCGCTTGCGCATCGCCACTGGGGCGGCGCTCACAAGATGCTGCTGCTGCCACTGCGAACATTGCTGTGTGTTGTTGACGTGCGTGCGTGTGGTGACCATGTGTCGACAGGGGTGTGTTGTAAATTTGAAATTTGAGCGGCGGGAAGATGGTATGATTTGATGCTAAATTAACGCACAACCTTCAAGCAGACGATGATGACTGGCAGTTGTGGTGCTGTTGTTGGTGCTGTGGGCCGGCGGCTGCTGCAGCAGGCATCGCAGTGGTGCAGTGCTGCCGTTCTGTCGCGAAGCCTCTCGAGCAGCAGGTTGTGCTGCGACAAGAACAAGCTGGCTGCACGAGCTAGTGGCTTTGAAGACACTGTGTGGGTGGAATTCACGCCACTGGCCCAGAAGCATGGCGCCGTCAACCTTTCTCAGGTATGCGTGTGTGCGTGTGTGTTTGTTGTATGCGTGTGTGTTTGTTGTGTGCGTGTGTTTCGGTGCGTCTGCTCGTGTGTTTGTTTGTTGTGTGCGTGCGTGCGTGTGCGTGTGTTTCTGTGTGCGTGTGTGCGTGCGTTTTGTGGTTGCCCTGCTGCACTTTTGTGGTTACAGCCACTGCTCACCCCCCCCCCATACACACACAATCTCTTTCCTTCCACGGTTTGTTTCAAGGCTTGCCATCGATTCCAGTCGCACCCTTTATTCTGTCTTGCATGCAAACGGGTACGTGAGGACGATTCCACTGCTGCACGTGTACTGCGTCGCTGTACTGTCTTCACTCACTGCGTTTGCTTCCTTTGTGTTGAAGGTGCTTGCTCCCACCTCATGCGAGCGCTGCTCTTGCTCCCACCTCATGCGAGCGCTGCTCTTGCTTCCACCTCATGCGAGCGCTGCTCTTGCTTCCACCTCATGCGAGCGCTGCTCTTGCTTCCACCTCATGCGAGCGCTGCTCTTGCTTCCACCTCATGCAAGCGCTGCTCTTGCTTCTTCCTTGTGTGTGTGTGACAACTCCCGACAGCTGCTGAGCCAGGCATGCATCACCAGTACACACGCGTTGGCGGTCATCCGCGGCTTGTGAACGCGCTTGCGCGGCATTACTCGCCCGAGTACGACCGCGCGCTCGACCCCCTCAACAACATCTGCGTCACCGTTGGTGCGTATGCACGCGATGCTGCGCTTGCGCTGTGCGTGTGTGTGATGTCCTTCCCTAGTCGCGTGCATGGGTGTATCATCGAGTGCAGTGCATGCATTGATCGTGTTGTTGCATCTTGCGCATTGCCGTAGGCGCGACACAGGGCCTGCTGCTGTTCTTCCAGACGTTTGTGGATCACGGCGACGAGGTGATCATCATTGAGCCCTTCTACGACAGCTACATCCCACAGGTACATGCACACGCAAGGGTGTGTGTTGTTGCTGCATTCGCACCAGCTGCATCGCTGGCGTTGCGCCTGTGCTGCACGTGCTACGCACGCATACATGCATGATCTCACACACTTGCATCTTGCACGCACGTCTTGCACTCGTTTGTCCGCGTGCGACCCATGCGTCCCCCTTAGATTGAGATGTGTGGTGGTAAGGCCGTTGCTGTGTCCCTTCAGCCACCAGCAAACACAGACGCCGCCACCCGCTCTTCTGCCGACTGGACGCTCCCCCGTGCGTGTGCGCCTGTGTGTGTGTGTGTGTCTGTGTGTGTGTGTGTGTCTGTGTGTGTGTTTGTCTGCGTGTCTGTGTGTCTGTGTCTGTGTCTGTGTCTGTGTCTGTGTCTGTGTGTCTGTGTGTGTGTGTGTGTGCACACTTGTTGTACTGCATGTGTGAGTGCACGTACGTGTGAGTAGCATTATGTGCTGTGGGTGGGTTTCTCCGCACGTGAACGTGGGCGCCACTGCGCTAAACATCACGGCTGACCGCGCCATCATGCCACCTCGCCTGCCTGCCGGCTGTCGTGCGTATTCTGCCCTGCAACAACAACAACGGCAACAACGGCGTGCGTGCGTGCGTGCGTGCAGTGGACGAGTTGGAGGCTGCATTTTCCCCGCGCACAAAAGCCATCCTCCTCAACACCCCGCACAATCCAAGCGGCAAGGTGTGATTGTGTGAATGTGTGTGTGCGTGTGTGTGTGTGTGTGTGTGTGCGTGTGTGTGTGTGTGTGTGTGTGCGTACGTGTGTGCGTGTACGTGTGTACGTGTGTGTGTGTGTACGTGTGTGACGGCACAACGTATGGAATGCCCCATTTGCTGGTGCTGCTGTTGTGCAGCGAAGCTCACCCTCTCCACCGCCACCACCATCATCAATTACCAATCGCGATCAGGTGTTCAGCCGGCGCGAGCTGGCGGCCATTGGAGCGCTGGCAGAGAAACACGACACCCTCATCCTCGCAGACGAGGTGTGCTGTTTGTTTGTTTGTTTGTTTGTTTGTTTGTTTGTTTGTTTGTTTGTTTGTTTGTTTGTTTGTTTGTTTGTTTGTTTGTTTGTTTGTTTGTTTGTTTGTTTGTTTGTTTGTTTGTTTGTTTGTTTGTTTGTTTGTTTGTTTGTTTGTTTGTTTGTTTGTTTGTTTGTTTGTTTGTTTGTTTGTTTGTTTGTTTGTTTGTTTGTTTGTTTGTTTGTTTGTTTGTTTGTTTGTTTGTTTGTTTGTTTGTGTGCTCGCCTACTCTTGTCGTTGATTTGCGCCCGTCTTGTAATTGTAACGCCCCGGTCGGTCCTCCTCATCACACCGTTCCCGACACCATCTGCAGGTGTACGAGAAGTTGCTGTACGATGACGAAGAGCACGTGCACATTGCCTCGCTGCCCGGCATGTGGGAGCGCACGGTTTCGCTCGGGTCTGTCGGCAAGGCATTCAACACCACCGGGTGGAAGATCGGTGCGTTCGTCGATGTGTGCACATGTGTACGTGCGTGCATGTGCACGTGTGTGTGCGTGTGCGTGTGCGTGTGCGTGTGTGTGTGTGTGAGTGTGAGTACGTGAGTACATGTGTGTGCGTGCATGTGTATGTGTGTGTGAATGTATGAGTATGTGAGTACGCGAGTACATATGTGTGTGTAAGTGTGTTTATCCAAAGGACCCCCCGAGACCTTCGTCTTGTCACCTTTCCTCCTCACCTCCACCGTCGTGTCAGGATGGGCGATTGGACCGGATCACCTCATCCAGCCAATGCAGCGCACGCAACAGTGAGTCTCCACACACACAGTGCTGCGGACTAAACTGCCACTGTATCGTGTTTTCACACACACACACATCCCACACACAGGTACACGCCGTTCTGCGTGACGACGCCGCTGCAAGAGGCGCTCGCTCGTGTGTTTGAAGAGGAACCACAGCAGCAGTTCTTCCAACAGCAGAAAGACAGTCAGTACTTGTCCGTTGTCTGTTGTCTGTTGATTGTTTGCTGCTGTGACTTGTACTGGCTTTTCTTTTCAGCATCCGTGTCCAGTGCTGCGTGTGCCACCAAGTGTTCATCCCACCCCACCCCCTCTGCTCCAACCTGCCCCGCCACCATCAACCAACATCGACATCAGTGTTCACACACAAGCGGGAGACGCTGGTTGGCATCCTCCAAGACATTGGCCTGAAGCCAACCATCCCTCAGGTACAACACACATGGCATGACGCGTCGCGATCATGTCTGTACCTATCTGCATGTCTGCACACCTCTGCACTCAACTACTCCAATCACACACACACACACACACACACACACACACACACACACACACACACACACACACACACACACACAGGTGGCTGACTGCTGAGGTTGGTGTTGCAGCAATCCCACCTTCGTGCTTCTACACAAAGGAGCACAGCCACCTTGCGCACAACTACGCGCGCTTCTGCTTTGTGAAGACTGACGAAGACATTGAGGAAGCCGGTCGCCGCCTTCGAGCACACTTCCTCTGATACTAAACCGCTCAAACGTACACTTACACTCAAGCACGTCAGCCAAACCTGCGTCGTTATCGACACACACACACGGCACACACACACACACACACACACGAAAATTCGTGCAAGTTTTCCACAATCGCCCAAACTTCGGCCGTTGCCAACTGTCTGCCAACAACAACAGCACACAAAACAAGTGGTTGGCAGAAGGGTGTGCGTGTGTGTGTATGTGACAGCGACGATGAAGATTGAGCTGAAGAAGAGCGGGCAGCACAACCGGCACAAAGATGTCGCCGCTGCTGTTGTCTGGACAACGTCTGGATCACTCGTGTCTGCTGGGTATGTCAGTGTGAGGTTTGTTCCCGAACTGTAGAAGAGCACGAAGAACCTGCGCATCATCGACATCATGTCACAGCTCGCTGTGTTTTGCACAGCAAAGACGCTCGAGAGCTTGTCATCGATATCGATACTCTGCCTCACCCCACACTACACTTCACAACACACACACACCGACCGTGTGATGTACCGCGTGCGGTGTAATGCGTGCAGAGATGACCACCGCGTCTTGCAGTGGAATGAAACCCTGGACGATGCCAGCGAGGTCGGTGGCAGTTGCTCTGACCTGTCACACGCTTGTGGGAGGCCGCTTTGCTGACGAATCTTGCTCACCACCACATGCTATCGTGTGCGTGTACTTGATGTGTATGGTACCTGTGGTTGCTGCCGGCTGTTGTTCGCTGAGCAGCTCATCAATTTGAAGGAGGAGTGGTATCCTACCAGCGTCGCCGTGGGGCCCAATCCAAAGCGCTCGCAGGGCGACGTATTTGCCATCGCCTTTGACGACGGTCAGGGAGTGTGTGTGTGTGTGTGTGCGTTGTTGTTGTTGTTGTTGTTGTTGTTGTTGTTGTTGTTGTTGTTGTTGTTGTTGTTGTTGTTGTTGTTGTTGTTGTTGTTTAAGTTGTTTAAGTTGTTGTTGTTGATGTGTGAGTTCGCTGCCGCTTGCTTGTGTGCCCACGTTTGGCATGTTGCATGCTGCTTTCGCGGCTGTGCTCATTCATGTATTCCTCTTTCTTCACACGCTGCAGGCAAGTTCCGGCTCATGGCGCAGACTGGCCGCATCGAGAAGACTGTTGAAGCACACACAGGCGCCATCACAACACTCAGATGGAGTGCAGACGGGCAATCCATTCTCACAGGTGACCGACCGTGCAACGTGTTGTCGGTCCTCTCTGTGCACTCATCCGAAACGCTTCGGATGGGTCATGTCGTGCATGCAAACCATACACCTTAAACTACATCACCTCACACCCCCTCTCATCGTCGTCCTCTGAATTTGTTGCAGCGGGGGAGGACGGGCTGATGAAGGTGTGGTCGCGCGCCGGCATGTTGCGCACGGTGCTCGCACAATCAGGTGAGCTGGCCGCGATGCCAGTGCATTGCGCTACTTCAATGTACTTTGGGGATATGCGAGGCGTTCAAGCACCAACTGTGGTCTGCATTTATACCCGCACTGTCCACGTTGCTCGCATCATCCACGCCCGCTTGTAAACGCCTCTCACATACGGCCCGCACCCTCCAACCACCTTCAACCACCCTCCAACCACCCAACAACCCCTTCTCCCTCCCTCCAAACATCGTCACATTTCATCCCATCACTGCCCATGCCACCTCATCATCATGCGTCGCATTAGCACAACCCGTGTACGGAGCGGCGTGGAGCCCCTGCGGCAGCCGCGCCATCCACACGGCAGGCAAACACGTGGCGGTGGTCTCGCTCAAGGCGACAGCAAAGGCCGAGACGTGGAAGGCGCACGACGGCGTGGTGCTGTGCGTGGACTGGGGCGCCGCCAGCAATCTCATCGTATCCGGTGGTGAGGACGGCCGCTACAAGGTGCGCGCGACGCTGCCGTGCTGCTGCTGTCGTGTGGTACACGGTGGTGTGGTGGTGTACGTTGTTGTACTCTTCTGTGTTTCGTGTGTGAGGTCATTTGTGTGCATCACCACCCATCACGTCTTCATGGCCACCCTCACACCCTCCACTCATGCCTCACTGCCCCTACTCTTCGCCGCACCCCCCTCCCCTCCGCCAACCACAAAGGTGTGGGATGCGTTTGGGCGGCTGCTGTATGCGAGCACACCGGACCTGTACCCGATCACCTCCTGCCGCTGGTCCCCAACAGGCGATGCATTTGCCGTTGGCGGCTACAACAGCGTGCGACTGTGTGACAGGGCTGGGTGGTCGTATGCGGTGGATAAGCCTGCGACGGGGTCCGTGTACGAGGTGCAGTGGAGCCACGATGGCACGCGTCTCGCCGGCGCATGTGCATCTGGCGATGTGCTCCTCGGACAGCTCGTCATGAGGTCGGCAGCAGCAGCAGCAGCAGTAGCTTTTGCATGGTTGCGTGTGTGTGCATGCGTGCGTGCGTGTGTGTGTGTGTTTGTGGGTGGATGGGTGGTCATGGGTGTAGGCGTCGTCATGTACGTGAATGAGCCGGAGTCGTGTACGTGCTCCTCCTCCCCTCCCTTCATTCGTCATGTTCCACGACTTCGTTCCTCTCACGCGTGCACACGGCGCGTCGCAGGTCTGTGTCGAGCCCGCGCTACGTCGTGACGCAGACGGGCCCGGCCACCCTCATCGCCCGCTCCATCGCAGCCAACACAGACGAGGAGCTCGGTGGGTTGCCCTGGCGCTTGCATGCACCGTTTGATGACAGTGGTGGTCGTGGTGATGGGGATTGTAGTACTCACGCAACGTCATACTTGTGCCGGTTTGCTTCGTCTATTGTCCATTGTCCATTGCCCATTGCTCATCCACCCACCCCACCTCACCCCACCGACCGACCACCATCATCATCATCACCACGATGACACGGACTGCGTTAGACTTCCGCGAGCCGATTGTGAAGATGGTGCTCCGGTTCGGGCACCTAGTCGTGACGACGGCGACGCAGTGTGTTGTGTATGCAGAGGACAACTGGCTGTCCCCGAGCACCATCATGCTCAAGGCGCCCGCTGTTGCCGTCACACTCGGCCGATCCCACATTGCACTCGCCGACAAGACAGACACAATCACGGTCCGCATGCGCCACTCTGTGCCACGTGTGTGTCTGTGTGTCTGTGTGCGTGTGTGTGTGTCTGTGTGTCTGTGTGGTTGGGGGTTGGGAGACACCTTTGCTTGACTGGCGCCTGTGCCCTTGTTGCAATACCGGTTGTCACCTCACCATGCACCATTCTCCTCACAATGCCGTCGCTCTCTTGCTGCCACCCTGCCCGCTTTACTGCTGCTGTTGCTGCTGCTTCCACGCAGGTGTACACATATGACGGCAAGACTGCGAGCACCATCAAACCGCCACACGCGCAATCGGACCGATTCTCCGCCACATCCATCGCCGTCGCCGACGACACCGTCGCCATCATCGATCACAGGTCACTTGTGGTGTGTGTGTGTGTGTGTGTTGTTTGTGTGGGTGCGCAAGCAAGTGCGTGTACATATCATGCTCTCTTCAATCTTCTCATCCACCCATTCCACCCATTTTCCCCTCCACTCATTCCCTCCACCTCAGGGATGCCAAGGCGGTGCGTGTGTACGACACGCAGAGCGGAAAGGAGATGGGCAAACCACTCGTGCACTCTGTTGAAATTTCTACCATCCTCCTTGATCAGGGCGGTGCTTCCCTCGACAGATGCCTCGCGTTTGTCGACAAGAACCGGTCAGAATAACGTAGCAGGCGGGCGAAGGGGAGAGGAAGGAGGATGTGTGGACATGAATGACCATTTGTGCGTGTGTGTGCGCGCGCGTGTGCGTGTGTGTGTGTGTGCGTGTGTGTGCTTGTGTGCGTGTATGCGTGATGAAAGAAGTGGACTTGCAAGACACCCGTGTATGCTTGTGCGTGCATGTCCATGGTGCGACTGCCCAGCTTGCACACGAGAACGACTGCATGCCTCATTCCATGTGTTCCACCCACCACCGCCGCCACGACCACCGCCGCCACGACCGATCATCAGCGATTTGTGCATCGTGCAGGTCCGCCGGTCCCAGCGCCGCGCGGAGAAGATTGCGACGATGGTGAGCGATGCCATGTGGCACGACGACCACCACATGCTCGCGACCTTGCAGGAGGCAAAGCTGCAACTCTGGTTCTACCCGGCCTGCGCATTTGTGGACCAGGACATGCTGTCGTTCACCAAACAGGGTGTGGTGACGGGTGGTGACTTGGGCAAGGCGCCATATCTTACGTCGTTCTCCGGCAACACGTGCAGCGTCAGGCGCGCAGACGGCGCAAGCATGACATTCAGGTGCTGGCAGGTGTATGTGTGTGTATGTGTGCACGTGTGTGTGTGCTATTGTCTGTCTGTCTGTCTCTCTCTCTCTCTGTCTCTCTCTCTCTGTCTCTCTCTCTGTCTCTCTGTCTCTCTCTCTCTCTCTCTCTCTGTCTCTCTCTCTCTCTCTTTGTGCGCGCGCAACGAGAGAGCCGGAAGAGAGCGCGGTTGCTTTTGACGTGTGCGTTCGTTGCGTGCACGCTTCTGTGTGTTCGAGCAGGTCGCAAGTTGTTTCAACCATCTCGACTCACATCAATGCTTCACCTCCCCCCTCCCCCACTTTTTCGAAACAAACTACACATCACCAGCGTACCGCCGCAAGTAGCGGTGCTGCAGTCGCACACGAGCAGAAACGCGTGGGAGGACGCCATCCGCCTCTGCCGCTTCATCAAGGTCGGTGGCACTCCGCTGTCAAGCACGATGGTGTGCATGCATGCACCCAGCTCACACACACCCTCGTCACTGTCCTGCACACACACACGCACATTGACACACACACACACATTGACACACACACATTGACACACACACACACACATTGACACACACACACACACATTACACGCACACACATTACACGCACACGTGCAGGAGGATGCGCTGTGGGCGTGCTTGGCGGTCATCGCCACAAAAGCGAAAGAACTGAACGCTGCGGAGATTGCGTACGCCGCTGTCAACGCGGTTAGAGTTTGGTGGTCGTGTGTGGTCGTATGTGCATGTGTGTTTGTTTGAATGCCCTCATGCGCGGGTACATTTGTGCATGTGTTGTCTTGCCCCGCCCTTCATACCCTCACACACACACACACACACACACATACACACACGCACACATACACACACACACCTCTCATCGCGATACGCAACACCGCCACTGTGATGATCAGATTGACAAGGTTGAGTTTCTGCAGCTGGTCAAGTCCATCCCAACGGCGGAGGGGCGAAAGGCGGAGCTGGCAGTCTTCTCGGGCCAGGTGCGATACAACACGATGTTGAGGGGAGGGGTCATGACAATGATTGATGACAACTCACTGGCTGATGTCAAGCATTGGTGCATTGGTGTATGGGTAATCGTGGACAGCAACCACGGTGGATCCACCCATCGCTTTTCTTCATCATCAACGCGAACAGATGCTGCCACCACCACCTCCCGCCATCACCCTTCCTTCACTCCCTCACTCCTTCACTCGTGTGTTCGACTGTGCGCATCAGATTGAGGAAGCGGCGACGACGCTGCTGCAGGCCGGCCTCATCTACCGCCTCGTCGACATGTACATCCGGCTCTTTGACTGGGACAAGTCAGTTTCACTCGTGTGTGTGTGTGTGTGTGCATGTTTATGGTTATGTGTACGTGTATGTTTATGTAAATGTGTGTGTATGTTTATGTAAATGTGTGTGTGTGTGTGCATGTTTTGTGTGTATGCATGTGTATGTTTTTGTGTATGTGTGTGTGTGTGTTTGTGTCGCTCGCTGCCATTGTTGCCCTGACTGTCTTTGCCCCCCTGTGACTGTCCCTCACTCGATCACCAACCTTGCAACATTCTCCCGCCACTCAATCACCATCAGGGCCCTTGATGTGGCTATCAAGCACAAGACGCACGTCGACACCGTGCTGGCAAGCCGACAGCGCTATCTTGAGGGTCTCGGCCAACGCGAATCAAAGGCCAAATTTGTGCAGTACTCGCAGTCGGTGGAGGTGGACTGGGATGACATTCAGTTGAAGATCCAGCAGGCGCTGGAGGCCGAGAAGCAGCGGCCGGGCGCCACCCCATACGTCTGATGCAAATGTGATGGTGTGTGTGTGTGTGCGATTGTTGTGTGTGTGTGTGTGTGTGTGTGTGTGTGTGTGTGTGTGTGTGTGTGTGTGTGTGTGTGTGTGTGCGATTGTTGTGTGTGTGTGTGTGTGTGTGCGTGTGTGTATGTGTGCTTTTGCATGCATTCATGTGTTCGAGTCACAACGTCCAGTCGATTTCTTGTGGTTGTCATGGCAAGTTGCCTCCTTTTCGTTTGAGAAACAGGGCGCTTCGTTTCCATTTACTCTTGATGCGTTCATGTCCACGATGTAAACAGCAGAAAACATCGCCAACAACTACTGCACACACATACACACACACACAGACAACACACAACACACCACCGCATCACGCCTTGTCACCGCCATCGTGCGTGGATGTGTCTGGCTCCTCGTCGTATTGGATGGGCACACCGGTCCTGCCCTGTATCGCCTTGCTCACCTCCGTCTCGCCAAGCCGCTGCTGCAGCCCTTGATACGTCCGCGTCTGCAGAAATCCACCTGTCATGGTGGCGATGGTGTAAGGTGAGTTGTTGTGGTGAGCTGGTGGTGCTCGTGGTGGGGTGCGAGCATTGAATGCGAGCGAGCAAGTACACCAGCACCGCCAGCACCAGCAATGTGCGATGTGCGTGAACACCAGCACCAACGACTGCAAGTAACCAACCCCCGTATTGCGCCAGCGTCGTGTTGTCATCACGGGCAACAATCTCTCCCCTGTCTGTCCGCACAAGCTCTGCACGCGGCGGCAGCACAGACGAACGACAGGGAAATTTGCACAACAACGAATGAGACACAGAGGTAGGGTGGAGACTGAGATGAGGAGGGCATAAGGGTCAAGAAGCATTCTCCACATCAATATCCAAACAAACAAAACAAGCGTCACTCACACGCCCCACTTCGCCACCTTGCTTGCGGTCGCTGTGGTCGATGTAGGCGTTGCTGATGAGTGAGAAGTGCGGCTCCCTCTCGTCATCGCCATCGCCATCAAGCAGCGCGTTCAGGTCCTCGTCAATCATGGGCACGAGCTGGCGGAAATCGCTCTCCAGGAATCCGCCCCACTCCCGCGCTGGCGCACAGGCGAGCTCGAGCTCATATGGGGTGATGACCGGCCGGTAGAACTCGGCGCTGTCAATCTGCGGTGGTGGTGGTGATGATTGGGGGGGGGAGGGGAGTGAGCGCTTGGGTTCGGACACACATGAACAAACGCAGACAGACGGAAAATACAGTCGCAGATACACACACACACACACACAGATGGACAGTCCAGCCGCGCATACACACACACAGCACAGACACAGACAGACACACACACACACACACACAGACACACAGACACAGACACACACACTCACTCACTCCAACACCAACCAGCGAGTGCTCAGGACAGGCGACGAGGCAGTAAATGTCAATCTCATCAAAGTTTGCGAGCTTTGCCGGATTAATCTTCCCGACGAGCAGCGTGTAGTCCTTCTTCCCGCATGCGCGCAGCATCGTGCGCAGGCGGTCGGTGACGCCCTTGTAATCAGCTGATCCGAGCGTGCCGACAACAAGCCCAACAGTGCCTGCGTCCTTTGCCTTTTGGATGAGGAAATAGCGCTTCATCAGCTGACGGTTCACGCGCGCCGTCTCCTGTCGGCCCGCGCCCGTCGCCGGATCAAACGTGAAGAACTGATTGATGGTGATAATGGTGATGACGACGACGACGACGACGATGATGATGATGATGATGATGATGATGATGATGATGATGATGATGATGATGATGATGATGATGATGATGATGATGATGATGATGGTGAGAGGAGAGACAACGATGGTGCAGCAGCAGCAGCAGTGATGGTGGTGATGAGAAATGATGCGGTGGCAATGACGAAAACAGCGGCAACGGCGACGATGGCTGAGAAAGTGGGTGAAGACTAAACACAGTGGGCACAAGTACAGTGCAGCAGAGGCGGAGGATGCACCCAGCGTGCATGTGTGCATGTGTACTGCTCTCACCGTGCTTTGACTGAAGTAGAGCATGTGGTTCATCAGCAGCCGCGACGTTGGTGCTGCGTCAATACAATGCACGACAAAGAGAGGTGAGATGATGAACATTATGGCGCGCACATACACGGCATGTTGAGCAAAGGAATCCAACACTGCAGACATATATGCGTGTGTGCGTGTATTGAGCAAAGTAGGGCACGACGAACCCCCAACGAAGAGGAAGCGATGTCCGCTTGCAGCCTCATTGGTGAACGAAGGGTCATACCGGCCAAACCTGAACAGCATGAAGCATTGCGCAGCGCGTCAGGTGCAGTTGACGTCTCGCATTTTGAGAGTCACCTGCATCACAAACACCTCTCCACTATCACTCACAGTGGAGGGCATTGCAACAGCACCTGCACGTGTCCTCACCTTGGTGGCTGTTGTGGTCTGCGTGGTTTGTGTTGCTCCTCACCATCGTCGCCATCGTTGCTGTCGCCGCTGCGGTGGCTGTGTGGGATGGCCGGTGCCGGCTCGGCCGATGTGAACGCGGCGTCAACTCCAACGACGTGCACGTGAGAATAGCGTTCAGCTGCTGCCTCGACAGCGGCTGTCGTCACGCATGTTGTGATGTGGATTGTGATGACACACGTGAGTGCACGAGCAGCAAGCGCGCAACCACAGACAGACAGGGACACAGGCAAACATGCAAGGCAAGAAAACAGGCAGGTAGACGGACGAGTAAGCAGGACAACGGGTCGGCACCCACACACACACCCACCCACACACCCACACACCCACACACACACCCACCCACACACCCACCCACACACACCCACACACATACACACACACACACACACACACACACACACACACACACACACACACACACACACACACGCACGCACGTACATTGGTGGTGCTGATAGCGCACGTCGAAGAGCACGTGTACTTCTGATGCATCCTCTTCGGCAAGTTTGGTGACGTACTCAAGCAGCGCTTGTTGGTCAAGTGGATACTTTCCAAACACATACAGGGCAGGCAACCGGCTCGTTCTGGATGTGCAACAGAGAGGTGGCATCGAAAACGAGCATATGAGCACAGCAAATACGTCGATGAATCGAAAACGGCAGTGTGGCGACTGAACTTCATCAGCTTCTCTGCACGGCACACATGCATGCGTTCCTGAAGACATTTCCCTCACCTGCTCAGACAGGAGTTGCCGAAATGGATGACAACATCTGCATCCACGTGCTCTGCAGCCACTTCATCCACGCAACAGCTGGAAACCAGGAGCCAGACATCAAACTGGAAGTCACTTGACGACGCACCCACGCTTCCCACACATTTGCTATGCTGCTGTCATCATGCCGTTGTCACCCCTTGCTTCTGTTGCAAGTCACACACATACTCACAGACACGCGCGCACACAGACACAGACACAGACACATGCACAGACACACACCTGCCAAAGGTGGTGTCGGCCAAGAGATAGAACTCCTTGCCCGTGCGAGATTTCAGCTCCTCGGTGACAGTCACGCCATAGTGGAGCAGTTCGTCCGGGAACTGCAGTGCAATCTGCGACAGCACAAAGGGATCAACGTGTGAGAGATGCCAGGCCGGGGAGCGGTGTTCACATGCACTACATGCATATGCACACACACACACACACACACACACACACACACACACACACACACACATCGCAATCACGAATAAACACAAACATACATACATACACACACACACACACACAGTCCAGCACACCTTGTTTCCTGGGTGGTTTGCAACCGCGTTGGTGCAACGCGAGAGTTCAAAGAAGGTCTCCATGTCCTCTGGCGTCACCGCACTCTCGTCCCCGACAGCAACGCCTCGGGTCATCGCCTCGGCGCCATCGTTGCTGAACGCCGACTTGGGCTCCTCCTCGCTCATCGTCGCACACAACAAACACGTGGTTTCGTCGTGGTTCGTGTTGACTGCAAACAACAGCATGAAATGTATTCGGATGTCCTGGTGCTTCGCTGGCGCGGACCGTCGTGCACCATGCACACGCATGTCATGTTGTCACCCGCCCTCTCCTTGCCCGTGTGTTCTCCTCCATCCATCCACAGGCACCATACATCAGGCAGGGTTGGGGATGTTTATCATTGTTGAAACCAGCCACCACCGGCAGCAAAACAATACAGTCTTGTAATGTAACACATCAGGAGATTAAAAGTCAACGCAAGTGTAAAGATACGACGTCATCACCATCACCATCACCATCATCATCGTCAGCATCACCATCAGCAGCGTTTCACATCATCGTCATCAAACAACACCTCTCCTCTCCTCTCCTCTCCATTCCATTCACGCCAACAGTGACGCACACGTGAGCCATAACACCATCACGCGAGTGTACATGTACGAGCCATACAGCACATACACCTCATTCATCTTCAAACATGAGAACATCATCATCATCATCGTCATCGTCATCGTCATCGCCTTGCACAAACTTGACGCCATCCACAGTACCCGGCTGCTCTGCTATTCTCGCGCCCTCATCATCGCCATCATCGCCATCACCACCATTGCCACCATCGCCATCACCATCACGCTGTGCACCCACTGGATTGCCTCCATCACCAGCAGTATCACCACCACAGCTGCTCGCCGCGCTGCTTCGTCTCTGCGATTGTGAAGGCGGCGGCGGCGGCGATGACTGCGACGTGCTAGCATGTGCATCCAGTGGCGACGATGACGACGATGACGACGGCGACGACGACGACGACGATGATGAAGTGGATGTGTGCATCACCTCTGACTCTTGCTGCTGCTGCTGCTGCGAGTCGGTGCTGGCAGCGTGGAGGTCTTGTGTTGTCTCATGCTGCTGCTGTTGCTGCTGCCGCTGCTGTTCCTGCTGATGGCGTGAGAGCACATCAGCGCGCAGGCGTTCCCGCAACCGCTGCTGCTCCTGCAACCGCGACTCCATGCGCGAGAACGCGTCCTGGCCCGCGCCGCCACCACCACCTGCCTCATCGCCCTCACCGTCCTCAGCCTGGTCCACGGCGAACACGCCCGTGCCAATCAGCATCATGCGGCGCTGCTGCCGCTTCTGCTCAAGCAGCTGGCTCGTTCGCCGCACCAGCGACGACGATGACGACGACGATGACGACGACGACGACGACGATGACGATGACGATGACGATGACGACGATTTCTTGTTAGCCGGGGTCGTGCCATCTCCACCACCCTCCGTGTCGCCGTCGGCGCCGTTGTTGTCACTGTTGCCTTGATCGGTGTCGTCGTTGGAATCGGAGTCCGCGTCCACAAACACACGCGCAGCCGCCGCATCCTGCAACAGCTGCTGCATTTCACCGCCGTCTCCGTCGGTCCCCACGTGCTCCAATTCCGCATCAAAGTCAAACCGCGTCAGCCGCACGCGACGCCGGAACTGCACAAACTGCAGTGATGAGTGATGGTGGTGGTGGTGATGGTGATGGCGGTGGCGGTTGGGAGAGTGAGACATGCGTACATGTGTGTACATGTGTGAACGTGTGAAGGGATGTATGTTGTGAAGAAGGAACAAGGAGAAGAAGGGAGACGAAGGCCGCTTCACATGCACGCATGAGTGTGTGCGCACGCCCGTGTGTGTATTGCGACTCATCTGACCTGGTACAGTGCGATTGCGCCCCCGAGGAGAAACAGAATGACGGAGAGGACAATCGACGTCGCAATAATCTCAGGCCGCGCACTGCATTAACACCAGCAGCGAACAAGTGTGTGTATGTATGTGGAAGTGAGCATGCAAATTTGAGTGTGTACGTGTGTTGTGTGGGTGTGAGTTTGGGTGTGGTGAGAGTGTGCACACATAAATGTGAGTCTATGTGTGTGCATGTGGTGTCAGGTCAGCTCACATGCTGCTCTCGCCGCCAGAGGCCGAGGACGTCTGTGGGCATCAAAACAATGAAAACATTGATGGGCAGAGACAACGACAACACGTGAGCACGAGCGCAAGTCACCACAACGCAGCCAAACGAGAAGTTGGCACACACACACACCTCCCCCCCCCTGTTGTTCCCTCGTCACCGCAGCCACCAAACCACGACAACCACCACCAGAACGACAACAGCCACCATTCCGCATACCGGGGAGACGGGCGTGAACGTGTGCGGGTGCGTGTGTGTCGGGCGGTGCGTGGGGTGCTGCTGAGACCACGTCGACCACGATGGCCAGGGCGGCGATGGTGGCGATGGTGGCGATGGTGGCGATGGTGATGGATTCCTGTTGCCACGCGCAAAGAGCATGAGAGACAGTGTGTGCGTGCACACATGTGTGTGCAGGTGTGTGTGTGTTTGTGTGTGTTTGTGTGTGTTTGCAGGTACAAGTGAGTCAAAGAAGAAGTATCTGTGTTGCTGTGTCCACATCATGCAACGTTCACGCCTTGTGACCCTCCACCACAGCAGCACAGCGCCCATCACCTTGAAAAGTCGACCCTGATGGTGCGCGTCGGGTATCCCGCCAGATCGCCGGTGGTGTACCCAAACACAGAGAACAGCCAGCACGTGCGAGGCACATCCGTCAGCTACCAACGCCGATGGCGGTTCAAGGGTCGTCGTTGGTCGTACGTGGTCGTGGTTGAAAGATCATGGTTCGTGGTGGTGCACAGAATAGCGTGAGTGGGCGGGTACGGAACAACAACAACATACATAGGAGGCAAGCGATTTCAGCCATCAATAATCATTACAATTACCACCACCACCACCACCACCACCACCACCACCAACATCACAATCACCACCACCAACATCACAATAATCATCACCATCATCACAATCACCACCACCATTGGTTGCCATCGCACCGTGTACATAAACTCCGAGAGGGGAAGCTTGTCTGGATTGAACGGAACGGACGGGTAGCCGAGGTCCGTCTCCTCCTGCAGGCCCCCGCTGCACAACTTCTGGTGCAGCCTGAACACACGCACACGCACATGCACATGCACACATGCATGGAGATGCAATGGGTGTTTCGTATGTGTGTCAGTGTGCGGAAGGGCAGCTTGCAGCCTGTGCAATGAAGTGAACAACAACAAACAAACAAACAACCAAGCAACCAACCAAACAAACAAACAAACAAACAAACAAACAAACAAACAAACAAACAAACAAACAAACAAGCAAGCAAACGAACAAACAAACGAAAAAACAAACAAGCAAGCAAAGCACAACAACACAACAGCCCTTGGGTGCGATGGGGGAGGGGGAGGCACTAACGTGAATCCCGTGGCGGAGTTGTCAAATTGGGGGCGGTTCCAGCGAAGAACAGCGCTGTCACCGACCTTCGTCACCTGCAACAGTCCACCAGGGTGGACAAACGTGACATGCGGTGACAGACGGTGAACTCGAGTCGGAACAAAGGGAATCAGCGGCAATGCACCACAGAAACATAGAAAGCACACACACACACACACACACCAGCAACAATTGCAGAGGCAAATGTGTTTGTGTGCACCTGAAAGTCGGCTGGCTGGGCGGGGCGAATGATGCAGTCGCCGTGAAACAGCGTCGCGTGTGGATCTTTGCATTCACACCGCCCCAGCACACACACCGTGTCCGCTGCACACGTTATGTTTGTGTGTGTGTGTGTGTGTGTGTGTGTGTGTGTGTGTGTGTGTGTGTGTGTGTGTGTGTGTGTGTGTGTGTGTGTGTGTGTGTGTGTGTGTGTGTGTGTGTGTGTGTGTGTGTGTGTGTGTGCGTGTGACTGGTAGCACGGGCGTTGCGTATCACAACCAACACCACCCTCATGCCGTTCAACTTGGAGCACGCCTTCACTGCCATCACCGCCACCATCATCCTTGTCATGAATCACCCGAATCCAAACGCACCACGGTGATGGAGTCTGGACAGGTGACGGTGAAGTCGCGCGTACCGCAGTTGGAGAGCCTGTCATGATGCAATGTCGTCATGTCATGATGCGATGCGGTCATGTCGTGATTAACGTCATGCGTGGTCAGGTTCAAGTCATGCATGGTCGAGCGTGGAATGTCAGGGAATGAGACGATGCACGTGGTGGGTGTGAGGCCAGTTGCGGCACCAAGCGAAATCACGTACTCTGTTCCCGTCACCGTGACGTCGCTGTTCTTCTCGAGACTCGTCAGCAGAAACAGCTGTGTGTGTGTGTGTGTGTGTGTGTGTGTGTGTGTGTGTGT